AATAAGGCTGGATCCTTCTTTGCTATTAATTTAATTGAATTAATTAATTGTTTCAATTATTTTAATTATTTGGGATATCTAAATAATTAAAACAATTGAAACAATTACTTGCTGGGCCTTACTAAATGCCTATGGAGAGATTTACCACCTATTTAAATAGTTGAAATAACTGAAATAATTAGTTGGGCTTGATTTAAATATTTCAATCATTTCACTTATTTCGGGTACCCCAATAATTGAAATAATTGAAATAATCAATTCACCCTGATTTATTTATTTCAATTATTTCAATTATTTGAATAAGGCTGGATCCTTCTTGGCTATTAATTTTCTTAAATTAGAAATATTTCAAGTTTTCAATTATTTTAATTGTTTTAGCTATGTACATATAGAGTAGGATAACCCAGGCGTCAAATAGACCCTAAAGGAGTCTCTCTCATACATACATACATACATACATACATACATACATACATACACACATACATAGATACATACATACATAGATACACACATACATAGATACATACATACATACATACATACATGAGTCACACGACTTTCCTGGCAAGGGCCGAAACTCCCTCAGAGTTTCTCAAGTGCCCAACGAGAGGACACTCGGCACAACGATTTCTGGCCAGGTTGTCCTTGATGGTCTGAACCTGCAACCGATGCCGCAAAATTAACTGCATGAGTTGGACAACTAGCACCCCTAGAGAAACCGGAAGAGCGCGCATTCATCGGCAAGTCGCAAAGGACGACCTGGCGGCAAGTGCAAGTTGTTCTTTCTTTCTCGTCTCCATGCTGTGCAGAGACAAGCTGTCGCCTCATGCCCAGCTTTGGCCAGCGCTATGCCTGCCAGACCTCCGATGCACAAAGCATTCTGCGAGAGAAGCAGAAGGTGTTTGGAGATGCTGGCCTGTGCCACATGAAAGGTCCTTCTCAAGACAGGCTGATGTGAAAGTTTGTCGTTCCACAGAGCAGGTCCAGAACACGTCTTGGCTGCTCCAGGCGCTGGTCCTGGCTGCGACGCCACTCGCAGCATCATCAAAGGTTTTCTGGAGTCCAGAATGCTCCTTGCCTCGAAATGCTTTGCAAGGAGCCAGCCACCTGCCCAGGTTCTCCAGCCTGTCAGGAACTTGTTGCGGCCGTGGTACGTCATGCTTCACACAATCTGCGTAGAGGCCAGGACAGAACATCGTGGCCAAGCCGGGCTGCAGACCCGTGTTTGTGAGAGCCGCATCGCCCTCCGCCAGGACAACCCGTGTCCTGCCGATACAGGGAAAGAGAAGTAGAATCCACGAGGGCCAAGAACAAGAAGATGCGCAGCGAGTCATAAAGACACATGCAAAGCATACATGAGCGAAAGGCTTCTACAGGCTCACCCGAGCAACTCATACGCTCTGGTCGGCCGGCAAGGGGGCTCTGAAGGTTCTGTGCCTTGACAGCGGAAGCTGCAAGCGAAGCTCGCAATGACTCGTGCATGACGCACTCTCCGAGGCAGGCTTCTAAGGCAAGTGCCCTGGTCTGTGGCATTTTCGGTTCCATCCTCCGCTCCACGCTGGGCGCAAACGGCCAAGCTACGTCGTCGCCAGACCATGCTTTTCTGAACCACGTTGGACTCGAGCCTTTCGAACCAAGCCGCGACTCGAACTTCAGGGGATGTCACGCTATGAGCGTCATCGCCCCGCCCAAGTGCGGGTAGCCCGCCGCGCGAACAATCACAACATAGCCAAAGCACTCTGGAAACTGGGGCCTGCCAGCAGTCTCCGCTGGCGGTGGCCGTGGTGAAACTTCAATGTCTTTCACTGAGCTGAAGATACCTCTTCGAGCGATAGAACGACCGCCTGCATCTACATACTGTCCAGCTTATTCTGCTAGTTTTTGAGGCACTCGGACTCGGAAGGAGCAGAATAAACTTTTCTTTTCGGCACATGGCACGGCTGCCTGGAAGGCGAGCACTAATTTCTGACGCAGGACATTTTCGGACTATGACTATGCCTCAAGAACCTCACCACATGGAGGTCTGCAACAGCTTTGGTATGTCCAGCATCGCGGGTAAGCTTCTCGACTCAGTGTGCAGTCAGTTTCACCACATTCACCGCCTCAGGATCTCAGAACATCTTATAGCATACGGCATGCAAGAAAACACCCCCCAGCTCGCAGGCTCGCACCTCGGGCCGCACCTTCAACTCAAGTTCTGCAAAGGCTGAGCCTTGAAAGGCATCCTCGGCTGAGAACTGGTCAAGGTTGCTCTTTGCCATTCTTTGCCCATCCAAGCAGCATCCTGGCTCTTCTGGCTCAGAGCTCTTTCCAGCGTCCCATGCAGAACCTTGGCAGCATGCTGAAAGCGCTGGCAGATGGGCAGCAAGAAGTGCCTTCTATGCCTCTCCTGTCCGACTGCCGAATCATCCCAATCTGAGTCCAGACGAGATGCTGGTCGCTTGCCCGCTTGTGGGGATGGAGGGTGTGCCTAAGTAGTAGCATTGTCTGCTGCGGGACAGGGACCTCCCAAGGCGAGAGTGGGACTTCAAGATTGCTTGTGCTTCCAAGCTGCCGGAGGTGCAAAGTTCTCTGCACATGACGGTGATGTGGCCGGAGCTATGTTGGGGGCCAAAGCCTCTTGCATAACCTCAACAAGCTCTGCATGCCACACCCCACTGTCAGAAGTTGTTGAAACAGAACATCCGCCGACAAGCTTTTCCTCCAACCCCACTCCGTGTTCCCCCTAATTACCCCCTGCTGCCAGTCCCACCTGCTTTGCCTTCCCGGGCCCTCCACACCTTGTCCCAAGTTCCTTGATTCCTTCCCCTTCATCCCTCAAAATACGTCTAAAATATCCGCCTTTGCTGCTTCAACGCTTCCGTCACTGTCACCTCACGCTCTTTCAGATTCGGCGGGTAGAATGGGGGTCTGGTGGGAGCGGCCTAAGCTCCTAGATCGTTGAACTGGGCACGCGCACTTCTTCAGGCGGCGGTGGGGGCGGCACCGTGTCCTCTGCCATGCAGCAGCAGACGTTGGAGACTGTTTGTCGGCATTGTTTGGGGGCAGGCTCCTGCCGTGACAGCGGCGGTCTTGGGCAAGCATCGTCGTCCAGAACCGTAGGCTTTTGCCGGGTTCGCGCCTGCAGTGCCAGGGAAGCAGGCTTCAGTGCTTCAGCAGCTTCGGCAAGAGCACAGTAGCATCTTTTGTGGCCGGCACCTGATCTTCCGCTGAAGATGGGATGCGAACGACAGCCAGGGCAGGCGGGGCAGATGCTGCGGTGCCACCTCTCAGGGCTGCGGACATGCTGTGCAACCTTCCCCGTTGTTCTCTGTCGCTTCAAGCGGCTGCGGGTGGGGCAATGAAGCCATCTTTGTTTGAAGTGCGGCGCCTGAACGTCGCTGCCTTCTGGCCTCTCAACCAAGGAGACAAGAGGCAAATGGCCCGAAGACTTCGGTGTTTAACTGCCTCTCATTGAGCTTCGAATTCCGGAATGTTGCAACCGCGGCACCTCAGTCTTCCTCATGAGCTGCAGTCGCTGAGCTTCTTCGTCATCCAGCTGCAAGCTTCGCAAACGTTCAGCCACACTGCTCATCCGCTCCATGGTAGACCTGTACCTTGGCACAGGCACGCCTCAACGCATCTCAGCATGGCATGACTGGGCTCTGCCAGTCCTTGAGGAAACCGGAGTCCTGGAGCTCTGCTCTTCCAGGCTGGGAAAATCTGAACTTGACTGCCAAGGAGCTCTGCCCGGGCATTCTTCTGGGCCTCGGCTCGGTCGAAATTCGCAAGCGTCACCGCACTCCATGTGCGGTCTGAGGCGCCGTTGTGGTCAGCGTTCGTGACTTCCGTTCACCTTTTAGCACAAATCCCTACATGTGATGCTGCATGTTGAGTTTCATTACACTCACAGCATGCTGGCACTCTAAGATCACTGATGCAGACACGTTCACGGAAAGTCTTCCGCGCTGCCGAGGCGATAATGTGCTGGGTCTCTTTCGGACTGTCGAGGGTCAAGACTTCCTGATTTCAGATCTGCATGTCCCTTCGCAACTGCGCATCGAAAGCTTGTGGAAAGCCAGTTGTGCTTAGACTCTGCACCCTCTGCAGTCTTCCAGTGGCCGTCTTTGGGATCAAAGTTTGGAGTGTCTGGTCTGGCTGGAGGCAAAATCTCTTCGAGACTTGTCAGCAGCCCACTCTCCAGCTCAAAAACGTACCTCGCCCACAGCAAAACATGCGAACAGCTCCTACGGTAGACGGGGAGGGCGCTATGGGCAGAAAGCAAGCATGCTTGATTCAGATCCGCTGCTGCGCGTCGATTCGCGGATCTTGCCAAGAGGAAATGCCATCCTCTGAATTGACGAAATACCTCTGTCCAACACATCGCATCTGTTGCGAAAAGGGCTGATACCGGTTCCGTTACAGGAGATGAAATCGTCACGGCTGCTACTGGTCGACGAGACAGCCTAAGCCCTCGTGAGTTGTTCACAGCAAACGATTGTTCTAAATATTCTCGTCGACAAAGCCCCGGACTGACGACCAGCATCGTCCATAAAGGGCCCATGCCACTTGTCCAGCTCTTGCTTGTGCTGGTGCCACAGAATGCCCTTCTGCTCCTCGAAAAAGCCGGCCGTGTAGCATTTCAGATAATTGCGTCCTGCTGCAACGATGGGGCTTGCAGAAACATCGTGGGCTCAGGGACTCAATGAAGGCACCGGTCCTATCTCAACGATTCTTCGGAGGCAGGGCACCAATGGATTCTCCCAGCTACTGACTTGCCTGAGGTGCACTGCAACAACTACCAACAAAATGAGTCATCGATTGGATCAATGACTTCGGAATGACTTCGGGAGTCGGTGCTTTCCAAGCGACCGGTCATGATCCACGTAGTAAACGTAGCCTGAGCACTGCATGGATGTTTTGAAGACAGATCTGCACTGCCCATGCGGCGACATAATGATATCGGGCATCTTCGAACAAAAGCTGTTGGCTTGTCGCTGCTCGCAGTTTTGTTTTGCCATGCTCGTCAAGCGAACAACTTCTGTCTTGTCCCAGGACTGGGCTGCACAAGCTGACATGCTGCCTAACGACCGGAGGAAGCGTCGCTGTGTGCCGTCCAGCGCGGTGGCAAAGGGCTTTGGATGCCAACTTCTGCAATCCACCCAAACTCTTCCTCCTGTTGAGCATGTTGAACACAGGCTCCAGTTCGCTGCGGGTCAGCACAAGAAGCCTTCAACCAGGCCAGGCCTCTTTGACGTGGATGCCCAGCTGCTGCTTGAAGGCTGCGATGGCATGACTCTCATCCTGCTTTGCGGGAACTCCCAAATCCGACCCCAACAGCCCAACAGCCCAACTGAGCTTCAGGCAAGAAGGCGGCTGGCCATTGGCCATTTGCACTGAGGAAGGCATTGCTTGGGGCAGAGCCAGGACTGAGAAAGTTGGCAGCAGAATCTCGGGTACAGAAACGCTCGCAGGTGCTTCAAACTATCAAAACTGCCTAGTCAAAGCGCCTCAAGATGATGATGCAGGATAAGATCTGAGTCCTCCATGTGCGAGCAGACCCCAGCGACTTGGCCCTCAAGAACATGAAATCATGTCATGAGCTTCGATGCATAAGCTGAGGACGGAGTGGAATGTAAGCTCTCCGCCGCCGCCGAAGACAAACGGCGCACATCGGGTAAGCTTAACCAGATGGCTTTCAAGCTACCACTTTTTTTCACCTCTGTCATGGCCACAAAACAGCTTTTTGCCCGCTCCTACCGTGCTGCTTGCAACCGCAAGGAACTTGAGCACCGAATGAGCTCGAATGAGGTACGAGCGCACAAAGCATGCACGGCAAGGAGGATTAAATTCTACAGGCACTTTACCTTAAGCAGAGGGGATCGCATTGCCACGTCCTCTGTCTTACGATGGCTCGGAGATTCTCCGTGGGACTATACGTGCTCAGCTTTTTGGTGCACGCTCTCCACTCCCAGGCTTCTCACAGCTGCCCACAAGCTGACAGGCTCTAGGCGCACAGCACGCACACACCACCTCGGCAAATGCATCAATGTGAGCCCTCTCCCGCTTCTGATGGCAGAAGGCAAGGAGGAGCCTGCAGCTTTGATCTTCTCCTCGGCTTCCTTGGTGAAGTAACGCGCCTGCTTGGCAGGCGTTTCCGCCGCATGGGCCCGCGGACTGCTGTCCGTGCTCCGCTCTCCCCCCTGCGCCTTGACGATGAGCGGCTGCTCGGGGAGCTGACCTTTGCCCAAGACCTTCATGTACCCGGCCTGAAGCGAGGAAGCGACGCTAGCATACCGTAGCCCGAGCCGGATGCGTTCATGCTGCGCTGCCTTCATGACATCGATCACTGGAGCCTTGTCTGTCTTGTCCTCTCGTTGTATCCAGTAGCTTGTGGCTTCGACTCCCCTCTTGAAAGTGTTGCTACACTCCTAGAAATAGAACACTAAAGCCCAGCATTCTCGACAGCACCTTGTAGAACAACCTTGTCTGCTCCGAAACCAGGGACCACAAGCGCTCAACGTTGATGGTCGGGATGACCTGAAGAACTTCAAGGCCAGCTCTGCTTCGATGACTTACAAAACCCGGTACTGCCTTGCCATGCTTGATGAGGTGGAAGTTGCGCATGCCCACCTGGCAGTCCGAAGGAGCCGACACCACGCGGATTGAGGAATTGGTATCACCCATGTGAAGCCTTTCCGAAGTAGCCAGGATGGTACTTGTCAAAGTTGATTCGGTGATGATGCCTTGCTAGTCAGGAAGCCCGTGGCTGGAGCTGGCAGAGGTGAGCAGCTGTGCCGAAGTGTTCCAACCCCTGTGCATCACACAATAAGGGCCCAGCTGACCACCCGAGTTTCCGCAGCCACCAGGATGCTTTCGGTGCTTGCCGATGCGGCCGTGACCTGTCGTAAGGAATTGTTCAATGCCTCCAGACTCCGTGGCATCAGCTGAACAACTCTGAGCCAGGCCCCTCTTGCGGTGGGCATGCATCTTGCGGCTCTTCTTGAAACGGGTGGTCATCGTGCCTTGCATCACCGAGTGCATTTCTTTGACATGCAATCCGCATCTCTACACCTGATCCGAATTCCTCGAAAGACCGAGGGGCTCACACCGTATCTGCTTGGGATGGACGAGTTGCTACCCTGCTTACCCTGAAATGGGCGGCATGCCGAGAAGCGGCCGAGCAAGCATTTAGTGCAAAATTGCCAGCACAAATCACAGTAATCCCAATCCACAAGGGGTCGATAATTACAATCGCTCGGTTGCATCTTGCGGCGCCGAGCACTTCTTTTGTGGCCGTCGAACCTTTCTGCATCAAGCACCTGCCGAAATCTGCCACTATATTTACTATCAGCAGACACCGCTGTAAATACCCCCGACAACGCGCGCTGAACGATGCAAGCTGCATTTGGGGCCGAAAGCCGTCCCAACAACGCAGGACACTCGCGGTGATGCTGGAAACGGGGCCCCGATTTTCTGCAAATCCGATGTCGCGATCCCCCACCCCGCACCCACCCCCCTTCCGTTTTAAATTTTAGGCTTCGCCCGCCAGCTCCGAGATGCCACAAAGGTGCTTTGCGTCATCTGCTGCAGTTTGGCTGCTGATTCGGGAAGCGCAGTAAGGATTCCTTCTTGTGCGTGTTTGGGAGATTGGCTTGGCATTGGCTTCTGATCTGCTAGCGGAGCTACTTCCTGCAGCCTGCTGCGATGCGAGCTGGTGCATCTGATGACCTCAACTGCGCAACCTCCTCCCGTAATAGTCTAGGCCCCTTTTTGGCTGCATGCAATTGCCACGTATCCACGGTGTCAGAGTTTGCCTTCAGCACGAGCTAACATGTGTAGTTGGAGTAAATAAAGGCACCGCCTTACATCGCCTTACTGAGACGTGAATCGTCTTCGTTGCGTTGTACACTCCGTGTTGAGCTCGCTTGTGCACGGGGTATCAAGGGCTTGTTGAAACACCGTCGTCCCAACATCCTACGTGTCCCGAAGACAAACAAGCTTCCATCCCGACCAAGACTTGCTTCGGCACTGGCATGGCAAGAAGGAGAACAGGCAAGCAGCGCACAAGAAAAGAAACGGGCAAAGCTCGGGACCTGAAACGTATACGTACTTTCAACCCCAAACATCCATAAGCCACCAGCCACGCCCCGCCCCGCCTCGCCCCGCCTGCCGGCTGCGGCTGCACGCCAAGTAGTAAAAAGGAGTCTGCGGGCTAGATTGTGTGCAGCGGTAGTGCCAGATCTCAAGCCTTTACACGCAGCCGTTTCGAACAATCCGAAGCTCGAACCTGGCGCTGTCAAAGATCCACGTCGGCCCAGGTGGTGTCCCAATGGGTGAAAGGGGATCCCATGAAGAGCATCGTCGTCACGCTTCGAGAACTGAAGTGGAACTCGGGGAACGATTTTTGCTTCGTTCGACTCCGACGGTGAATGCTTGAGCAGATCACCCCTCGATGACAACGATCTGAAGGCTTCCGGTATGCGCCGGGCGGCAGGCACGCATGCATAGGGGCAGCAGGGCAGGGGCAGGAGGCGCAAGGCGACTTACAAACGTGCACAAACGCAAGACTGATGCTTGGTACTGCACGGGATAGATTTAACTCTGTCTCGGCATGAATGAATGCTGAGAGATGGAGGCTGTCACCACTTTGGGCGCAACTTTCTCCCACTTTGCGTTAACTACCAGTCCGTTAAAAGGCGATATGCCACCTGGGACGGCTGTTCCAGTTCATTTACAGGGCACACACCACGCACCGTTGAGCTCAACATGCGTGAACTTTTTGCGTGTGCCAAAACGTTCTCCCCAAGCCGCCTATCGACGGACTGAAACTAAGACTGTGTGCCAGGTGTTGGTGTCTGTGTGCGTGAGTGAGTGCGCAGCATCATACAGCATCCAAGCGTCACAGCTTGCAGCAAACGAATTGATCCTTGGATGTCCCTGGCATGTAGAGACATTGACGCAAAGACGCCGGTTAACACAAGCTAGCAGCTAGCGCAGATGATCTGGTCTGGTCGCGAAATACCACTAGCTTGTACCAGTAATAGCCTTGAAAGCCAGTGCACCTTGCACCATGGGGAGACCAAATCATCATTCTTTGGCGCTTCAACAATGATAGGCTCACGGTCGGACATACAGTTGAGCAATGAAGGGCGTTCTGACGTTCCTGAGGAGTCCGAGACGGAGATCCAAGAACAGCTCAAGAGCTTTCTCCAGACTGAGAGCAGAGCTTTGGAGACACCATGCCATTTGCTAGCATGCCGTGAAGATTGTATGACACCACAGATCCGGGAACTTGTACCACCTAAGTGTATCGCCCCACAGGTCTTAAAGCTTGACAGTCGCTTGAGACGGCGGGGTGAGGGGAGTGCCAGTGGACTCCGTTGGGCGCCTGGGGAAGAGCATCGCCTGCAGCATCAGAGCTTCAGCCACTCTTGAGCCACTGGTTGGTCTGGGCCTGCCCCTCGCCGCTGATGCAGTCAGAGAGTACGCGATTCTGGTCAGGGTTTCGGTTGAAGCGCTTCGTCCAGCGAAGCCCAACCACATGTGCAAACTGAGACTGCGCTTAAGTTTTGGGTGGCCACGGCCTCTGGCAAGATGCATCACCTGAATGCAACAACAAAGGTGCAGCGCAGTTCTGTTGTTTAAAAATTGCATGCAATTCTGCGCCCGGGTTCCTTCCTGCAGCCTGGCAACGCGACAGCCAAGCTGCCCTGCTTGTTGGCTCGGAAAAGGTGTGCCTCAGAATCGAACACTCCCCCTAGCTGCTCGGTGGAAGTGGTGGGAGCGGTGCCGAATGGGCTGTGATGGCCCTCGCCAAGCTTGCACTGCCTCAGCAGACGAGGAAAGGAACCTCAAAGGAGTTAGCGCCTGGTCTCGTCTTGCAACACCGAGCTTCACACACATGGCCGAACCGTGACGGGCGCAGGCATCGAGTACCGCCGCTGCGTCTGCCATCGGACTCAACGGACAACTGTGTGTCTTCCAGGCTCCAGGCTGTAGTCACTACAATCATATCGGAGTTTGTGCTTCGAACCTCACACCTACATGTGGGCTCATGTACGACTGCATCGAGGCCGTAGTGTCCCAAGGCTGCTGCACCCTCCCCACATCTACCCTTTCCACAACACCTCTCCAAGATGAACTGTTGGAGAAGCTGGATCGTGCGACGACAACGTGGCAGGCTTGCCGGAAGTGCTGAGTCTCGATGCTGCGGGGCCAGGGCCATAGCCCGGTGCCTTGTGGCGTCCTGCCATCACCAACAAGGACTCAAAGCGTGGGCGGGGGGGGGGACTTGCGTGGCCTGGGCCATGGCCTGCGCTGCACCGGCCTGGGCCTGGGCCTGGCCGGCCCGAGTCTCCAAGCGCTCCAACCTGCGCCGAAGGGCGCGGACTCATCACACATCACCACACACGACGGCAAGGTGCGCATGGAAAGGCCTGCTTTTCATTTCAGCGCAATCCTCTCGAAGCTTGGTCAGCACCTATCAGTTTCTGAGCATCAGGGCCCAAGCCACAGTTTTGTTCATGCACAATTGCACGCCCTGCGACAGGCCTCCATCGGCACTGCTCTGGCACCTCCAGGCTCCACATCTTCACACGGCAATGAGGCACGCTGCTGCCAAGCCGGCAGTGAAGAGACGCTGTGCGCCGCTGTCACACTCTGTCACAGCTCGCTCTGCACGAATTAGCACCTAGCTCTCAAGAACTTAGCACGCGGCTAGCAGCAGTTCGCTTCAGCTCAGCCACCGTGTCCTTCCAATGTGAGAGCACACATCTAATGTGCCGAGCGCAGCCGGCCCTGCCGAGAGACAAAGAGTCTCCTGCAGCGCGAAGACAGTGTCGCCGATGTTTTGGGACAGGCTACGAGCCCTGGATGTGCCAACGTCACAACTCCGCTTGCTGCACCCGTCACGGCCTTTGAAGTGAAGACAAGATGCTGCAGTCCTCGCGTTTGGGCGCAGAACGATTGCACGTTCGAGTTGGCAGTGGCCACATTCGCTTCATGGCGCTCCTCGGGGGAGGCCGGGCCCGGGCTGGAGATGTTGGCCTGTGCAGAAGGATACATTAGAAAAGCAACGGTGCGGACCGCGCGGTGCAAGTGCACCAGTCCGACCTCCTTGTGCAGCTCGATCTTTGTCATCGATCCTGCATCATCCTGATTCTGCACATGGCTATAGCGAAATGGCGACTCATTGGTACGTGTTGAAATCGTCAACATCTTTCACCCGTGCCGTTCCACAGGACATGTCAGACTGTCACCCTGGCTCCACTCAAGTTAGACGTGGCGAAACTAGATGATGTGTCAGGTGACAAAGACGGTAGAACATCCTAGAGTGTCACAGAGGACATGGCACCATGTCCGTGGGGGTGTTTTCGGCACTCAAACTCACGGCGAGAGCTCCAAATCTGCTCTGCCAGTCAATGTGATGGTGATCTGAGTGCAGAACTCGGCTTTCAGCTCCGCTCTGCCCCTCCTCCACGTCCAGCACCTTGCTCCCTGCGGCCTTCCAGCCGGTGTGGCAGCAAATGGCAGCAAGCACTCTCGAAGCCCTCCTTCAAGGCTGTTCACTATCCGCAGGGCTCAGCACATCTGAGCACTGTGCACTGCACGTAGGAGGCGGAGCCCTGAACAGGTCCTGCAAGCAAAAGGGACAGCAAAGTCACGCCATTCCAGCTGGCTGGCGGCTGATGAAGTCCCGCATCCGCTTCACCTCCGAGCGAAAATCCGACACCTCAGCTGCAAGTGGATATCGTGTGAATCATATCATGTGACTCGCCTGCTGTTGATGGCTCCATGCCCTTCAAATCTAAAGCAACGTGCTCACCATCCTGAGTACGTGCTTGCACAGCATCAACGGCACAATCGGCACGGAGAGTCTTAGAGACCCTGAAATCAAAAGAATCGTGACTATGGAGCAGCCTGGCTGCTTACCACGTGCTGTCGATGGAGTTTTCAGGGTGTTGAAAAATCAGAGTGGGCTTGGGGAGCATGGGCGCAGCTTGAGCCCTTTATGTCACGGAAAGTTTGGGGCGATTTGCATGCACTTCTCAAGGTCTCAAGGGATCTCAAGCGCTCCCCGCAGGGCGTCTGAACCACACCTCAGCCCGTACATGGCTTGAGCGGCACACCGGCCAAACAGTGACAGCATCTTCCATCACCTGTGCAAGTGGTGCACTTTGGAGAACCCGACTCTCAAGAAATGCGCAACATGAACAAAGCCAGGCCTGTGAACGGTGGCGCAACCGTATGAGAGGCTCCTGCATCATGCCGTGCAGCATCACACCGTGTCACTTCTCACCCAGGGCAAGCTTGCTCAGGGCTCCTGTGTTGCAGCAGACAGTGTCATTGAAGGCGGCAAGGAATCCACCACCTGAAGCTTACATGCGGCGACACAGTACAGACTCTTAAAGCACAACATCAACAATGATTTGCTCAATTTCGAGCATGCTTATGCATGCTTTCATCAAGCCTAACAGCCTAGTTGAACCACAGTAGATAGAACATAGATGGATATAGGACTTGACATTCTCGTGACGCAGGCAAGCCCTGCCTCGAAGAACTTGGACTCTTGGGATGCAATCTGCAGGTGATCCAGCTCCTGTGCTTCGCAGGGACAGATACTAAGAATGACAGCAATCTACTTCGGCATGTATTATCATGTACTTCAGAGGCAACTACTTGGAATTCCTTTGCAAGCTCATTGGCTTCGTCGATGAGGCTCGCCATTGGCCTCGGAGGGTTCATGCTGCAGGATACATCGCATGGCTGTGGATCCCGTCTGTCCTGGTTGCGGGATCTTTCCGGACCTGACCAAAATGCACCGGCGCAGCTCAGGTGCTTCACAGCCGAAGCACCTCGGGGCACATCTCCGAGCGCTCGTCAGTCACGACCAATAGTTCGTGCGCCTTCATGAAAGGAGGCTGCGCTTAAGCCAGTTTAAGCCCTTCGTACTTGCGCCGCATGGCACCAAACAGAGCCCATCTTGAAATTGCCGAGGTACCCAGCCCAGCTGCAGGCGATCACCGTTGGTCAGTGGCTCCTGCAAGCCACTGGTGAGATCTTCGGAGTACAGCCGATGATTCTTGAGGAGATTAAGTGACCGCGAGCATCACCATGGTCACCATAGCCAAGGATCCGTACTTATGACGACGTCACAATGCACCAGGAGAAGCCAGTCTCGCCATTCAATTGTGCTGCGGCAGACCATATGCGGCTCCGGTGTCGTACCATCCAGCATCTTATCGTTCAGGCACAAGCGGTACCTGCGCGGAGCGCCCGCTTTGGCAAACCCGGACCGTGCAGTGCAAGTTGTTGCCTGCCGGGGGCCAAGTGCTTCAGCCAGAGCCCACCACCAGTGTCCTGATACAGGACACTGGTGACAGGCGGACAGGCGGACAGAGCATTGGTTCTACTCGGAGACTCGGAGGCCCACGAAGATCTCGCAGTGTTCTGGAGCGATTCCCAGGCCCTGGCACACTGCGGCATGGCCACTGAACTGTGAACTGGCTGGCAGCAAACTCACCTGCATTGAGAGGCCCTGCGCGGAGCCGAGAATTCGGGAACCGTACGGGTACACTGCATATGCCTCGTCAGTTAACAGCCCAGATCTTGAGTTTGTGACGTACTCAAGAAATCGTCTGAGGAAGCGGCGAGGCAACCCGTAAGCATGGGGTCGCTGTGAAGACGGGGAAGATATGCGGCTGCTGAGGCCAAGTCCTGGTCGCGCATGCGACAGCGACGTGCTGAGAGACTGCCTTTGAAAAGCAGGCTTCCCTGCTCTGAGAGCACTGTGAGCTCTCTTTGATGGCTCGCCTCATCGGACGCAAAGCCCCAGTCTCTTAAGGACTGCATCTGCGCCTGCACAAGGCGCGCTGGTGTTGGACTCCGAATGCGTCGAGTAGTTTGTCGAGAAGCCCGTTACTGAGGAGCTTGGGACCGTTCTTGTCTCGGCAGCAGGGATTCAACTGTCACGGACGCTTGCATTTCGGACCATGCAGGCAGTTGGATCCAGAGGTCAAGGATGTGCTGGTTACAGTCCTGCAGTATCTGTCAAAAATACCTTGCAGAAGACGGCTGTTTGTCTGATCGGGAGCGAGAGACACATCGAGAGATTATAAAAGTATCGATGCAGGCCAGCTTTGGCAAGATGGCATCTTAGAACTACTCGTGGCACGGTCGCATGTCTTTGCATTTGGCGCCGCAGTCGCAAAAGACCATGAGAGAAGAGCGTGAGAGATGCATGAACAAAGCCGCCGAGCCCATCCTAGTCTCGCCTGCAGAAGGGCCTTTGTGCCTGCGGCTTGCTCCTGCACGGAAGAAAGCAGGATCATGCCTGTCCATGGTCGGGCCAGTTAACAGAGCCCGAAAACCCATGTTGCTGACTCCTTGAGTGGAGCCGTCCGAGCAAACCGCCTCGCGATCATGCACAGCTGCGGCTCGTGGCCGTGTTGCTGGCTCTGCTTTAAGTGCCGTGCTCGGCCGAAACGCGCTGAAGAGTAGCAAGCCGTGCCTCCTAAATGGGATTGCACGGTCTGTGCTCGCACTGATGGAAGCATTCCAGACCGTCTGCTAATGGCACCTTCAAGGCAATCTCCGGTCCAAACCTTGCCGACGGTTATCACTCACTTGCTTTCTACGCCTGCTCTACACTGCTTGGTCCCACCTGCTCCTTTGCATTGATCTTTGCAGGGCCTGCCACTTGCATCAGAAGCGACAGCTCCAGCAGTTCTGCACTGGCACGCCTCAATCGCCTAATCCAAGAGAGGCGTCGAAGCAGACGGCCCTAAGTCACCACTTGCACATGCACTGATGCGGATGCGGAGCGATTCCGGAGGCCTTCTCCGTTTGAGTCGATCCTGGCCGCGGCCTCGACGGTGCCCTGGACCATCTCCAGGTAGCCGGCAGCCTCGCTGCAGGCCAAAAGCAGTGTACATCGGCAGAGCCCGGAAGGCAGAGCCAGGCCTCGCTGTAGGCCTGGCCTACAGCAGAAGTGCTCTAACGCTGCTAAACATTCTGCGGCAATCATGCGCTTTCCCGTGCTCTCGCCTTGCGAAAGCGTTGCGATGAGTAGGAGCCGGTCCCGGCAGCAGAGTGCATCCTAGCAGCATATGCACCCAAGTCCCCGAGCGCGAACCGTCTGATTCTAGACCTCCAGCAGCTGCGTCAAAGCACTCCGCCGAAAGAAGGCTTTTCCCAAACCTCGGGCCTCAGCAGACAAGAAATCCAGACCCTGAGCCTGCGCAAGACGAAGATTCTAAGGATTTGACTCGTGCCCCACCCAGAGCCAGATCTTTCAGGGCCTTTGCTCCAGCATCAACAGTCACGATTCGGTAGTCTACCCTGACCCATGTGACCCCCGTCTGTCCTCCGAAAGACCAAGCAGCGACACATCCTGCACAACATGTCCAGTTTCAACGATGACGTGCACCGGTGTGACCGGCTGCAACATCCACGAGCGGCCGTTCATGCGTTCACTAGCCTTGAAGCTGTTGTAGCTGGCACAATCGACGAAGGCTATGTTAGGCCTGCAGCTACTTTCATGGGAGGCCGTGCAGTGTTCAGAGCCGTGTGATGCAGTGCGACCTCTGCTGATGAGCACTCCCTGCGGGTTCTACTGCGAGAGACAGCACCTCAACGCCCATGTGTCTGCAAGCTTCGCAGGGATACTCAATACTCTAAACTTGACGACACAGGTCCCGACGGTGTGTGAGTATCCGTGCACCTCGGTGGATTGACAGTCTGCTGTTATTTGATTGAACAGTGTTGACTATTGAAACCTGACTACCCTTTTCTGGCTTATTTTCTTCGGAGGATTGGAAACCTTATTTGCCCAAATATACTTGATAGTGTACACTAGCAAGTTCTGTCTCTGTCCTCCGACCCTCCGTTTGCCAATCTCGAATGTGTTCGCGGAGATGGAATTATAGCTGACTTGCCTTCGGGGGTCCCCCTCACTGGTTCTCATAATATGGCCAACTAGTTTGATACGTTTCTCTCGAACCAACTCCGAAAACAATTTGATCTTCATTTCCTCATTCCTTTCTGCAGTGGCTAAGAAGGTATCATTCGGGGCAGATTTTTTGCAGCACAAAATATTGAGAAGTGCAAGCACTAACGCTCTGTGTGCATGGTTCATCCACTTGAACAGTTCCATTATAAGGCCATCGGGTCCTGGTTGTTTGTTTTGTTTCTATTAATGCTTTCTACGACTAAGTCGTACTCATCTATGAAGAACGGGCCTGTGTTAAACGTTTCTTCTGAATCATGTATCTTTTCCTACCTCTGAATTCTCACAGTATTGTCGTTGTGCCAATGCCTTTTGCTCCAGATATTTAGCTATGCACTCTGCTTCGGAGTGACCGTTATCTTCTTTCATTTGTAGGAAACACTCGCTTAGCTAACGGCGTTTTAGCCAAAATTCCTACTCGGGTGCAGCGGCCCCTTTTTTGGTCGTAGCGCAGGTCGCGCCCGGCCGGGCACACCGCCCCAAAAACCCGGTGCCGGTGCCCTTCTGCGCCCTTCCCGAGCACCGCCAGGGGGCGAGTGCCGACCGATATTCAGACGGAGGCTTAGATTAAAATGACCACAGGGTGGCGAGGGCGGGGTCGAAGTGCGCTTGTTCCTGTGTGCAAAAATGCACTACACAACAAGCGCTTAGCTGACGGCGTTTTAGCCAAAAACCCAACTACGGTGCAGTGACCCCTTTTTGGTCGTAGCACGGGTAGCGCTCGGCCGGGTTGGCACACCGCCCAAAAACTCGGTGCCGGTGGGAAAGCGCTCATGGTCCACCTGCAAGACGAAGCCGCCGAAGACGAGGTGCCGGCGGAGGCGACGGCTTAACCAGGGCGCCCACAGCGGGCTGGCCCATCCTGCCGAAAACCAGCGGGCACTTCTTGGACGAAGGGCTCGTCGCTTTGGGCCCCCATGTCACGGCACGTCACGGCACCGGTCTCCAGGAAGGTGATGGCCCGCCAAGGGCACGGGCGGCGCGGGGCAAAGGTGGCTGCGACGTTTTGCCGAACGGAACTGCACCCGGAACGGCTGTGCGGGGCGTTGGTACTCGCCCAGGGTGGTGCCATCATCATCAGGGACGGGGACCATCGCCGCGGTGGTCTGAGTGGCCGCTGGCGACGGGCCTGGGTCGGTGGGGGCGATGCCGTAGGCGCTGCTGTACCCAGTCGACGAAGAAGACGCCGAGCAGGCGGCGGCAGCGTGAAAGAGGTCGGCGTAGTGAAAGCCAGCCCAGCAATGGGCGCGACGTCCACCAGAGGCTGCCTCAGCCACCCCACAGGCCACGGAGATGCGTTCCGGATAGTCCGCGAAGAAGTAGTAGGAGGAGACTTCGAAGTAGTGCCGCCCGCCACCTCCAAGCCAGCCGCCTTGGCGAAATCAGCCCAGGCGGCGGCATAGGCGGAATCGGCGCCGGCGGATGCCATGATGTCAAGGCGGGGCGACAAGATGTGGGGAGAGTCGAAATCAGAGCGGTCGAGCCGGAATGCTACCGGCCGACCGCATGCGCTTGTTTCTACATGCATAAATGCACTACACAACATGGAAAGGCTTCCTCCTTGTCACTGGTCACTTCTCCTTTTGATCTTCTAGGTGGATTAGACTATTCATAAGAGCATCTTTCTTATCTTTCGCGGCATTCTGTTTGATTTCATCTGACAACAACTTCGTTTCGTCGATTCTTTCTTGTTCAGTCGCCTGCTGCCTGTGGTTGATTAACTGCCAAGATATTTTCGCAACACCAGCAGTTGCATTTTGCCATTCATTGCTGAATTCCTGTGCTAGTTCCTTTAAAAACAACTCAGTTTGTCGCTGTAGTTCTTCCATTCCGCCTCTTGGACGGACTTGCCCTCCTCGGCTGCCCGTCAGTTTGACCGCGAACACTGCTGCCACAATATAATGATCAGCAGGGAAGTGCAAATCCGTCCTAGATCTTACATCTTTACAACTCTTCTTAAAGTTTTCGTCAGCCAACCAAAAGTCTAATTGTGCTTATCTTGTCGGAGACAACACCGGTGTGGACGCCTGGGGAAACGGTTTCGTTTATGGGCTTAAACTTGTGGCGACCTGTGCAGCATGGCGGGCAGTCGCGGCTTTAAGTGGTGTTGGGAAGGCATTCGGCGTCCCGACCGTCTGTACAGAGATACACAGAGATGCTCATTTGACGTACATGGAGTTTCTTGCACACTTCAATGGGCCAGGCCAAGGTGCTCCGAGGAGCTTGGAACGCGCGGCACGCTTCTTGTTGCCATAGTCCACAAGTTGCTGCACCTCCGATGGCAGTGACAGCTCTGGGCTCGTCCTGTCCCAGAGTGTTGGGCCTCGCCGACGGACTCCACAAAGCACTGGGTGAGTCCGAGGACATGGGCAGATGCGCCAGGCATTTCGACCACCTGGCCAGCTTCGGAGCAGAATTCTGTGAAATCATGAAGATCTTCTGACTTCCAGCAAGATCTGTCTGGGGCCTTTCTGTGATAGACAGAATGGCAACTAAGTTAGCCCTCCCAAGTCGGTACCTCGAGGTTCGCCTCCTGATAAGGGGAACTTTCTCTGCAATGATGCCGAGGACAACTGGCGCAGGGCCTTCGATTGTAGCGGAGGCAGTGGGGCCAAAAGGTCCATGACCTCCTCGTTGTGCACCTGGCTCGAGGAGTGTGATGGTGTGTGGCGTTGCATCTTCTCCGGCAACATCTGGGAGCAACAAAGCAATCCCGGATGCCTCCAGGAACGAGCACCACACCTGCTTCACCCAGGTCGACATCGTACAATGTGGAAGCAGGGATTGCTGAGACATGCACTCTGGCGGGCTGCGCAGTTGCAGAGAAATGGCGGAATATCTCGAGAGTCACATGCCTCTCATGCTTGGAGCTCTGCACCCACCGCACAGCGCTTTCGATTTGCAGCTTGTTCGACGCCAAGGTCCAAGGAACTCACGGGATCAGCCCTGGATCTGCTCCTCAGAATGCTGCGTATGATCAAAGTGCCGCCTGGCATGATGATTATCGCACGACTCTTCGCCATGACAGAAACTCTCGGTCTTCCACCATATCCCAGCAGGGTGTGACCTCGGGAATCTGGCCCATGCACTGCAAGCCGGTTGCAGTGCCCTCAGGAGCCAACTTTTCCCACTGGACGGTGGTCCACAAGAGATGACGGCAGCGCTCACTCCCTGCATCACCTGCTTTCAGGCTCAGTCGACAGACACCTCAACGTTTTGACAGCTTCCCGTTGCTCTTTGCTCCGGCCTCCTCCACGGCCTTGGACATGAAGTCTCTATACAGAACGGCCTCGTTGCGAGCGGGTGCGCGAGCGGGTGCGAACGCAATGACCCCCACCGCCCTGACAGCCTGCGCATGCTGGTCGGTGAAGACAAAGTGAGACGGAAAGATGATACCATCGTCATCTTGTGCCTCGCAAGATGCTGAGTTATCTGCGACAGCAGTGGGCTTGTTTTCACTCAACTCATCGACAAGTGTCACAGATGTCATGCAGGAGCATCTCACTAAGGAAGCTGCGTCTGAGCGAAGTCGCACCGCTGCCGGTGCCTTCACGAAAACTATAGCCCAGTCACCGAAGCAAGCCCAGAGATAGAATGCTACGAGGGCTGCATTACAGGATTCAGCCGTACCTCTGCCGATCTGGAGGATGTTGCTGACACTCTGACAGCAAGTCCGACCTGGCTGAGTGCTCAACATGCATCACACATCTGCCAGATGTGGGCCCCTTCACCAGCCATGTGCCCTGAGATGCCCTGAGCTGATCTGGGGGCCTCATCGGCGAAGAAAGGCCGAATCCTGACCGCCGCGCGGGGACTTAGCGGACTCCTGGGGATCCGTGGGCCGTCAGAGGATGTTCTCGCGGCTGGAACTCTGAAAGCTAAGGCCCTTGGCTAAGGCCAAGGCCGGAACGTCTCCGCATCTGGACGAAACGAAGCCATGCTAGGAACGCTCGTGTCATCTGTTCTCACAGGTGCGGCGCAAATTTCGAGCTACAGAAATACTAGGGAACGCGTTCGTGCTGGACGACCTAGCTGCCCTACCTTCAACTTGGCGTGCAAGTGTTCTCAACCATTGGGCCAGCCTGCCGGCACAACGCTCTGTTGTGGCAACACTTTCTCCCAAGCCAAAGACCTTGAGGCCACGCCGCAAAACCTGAAAACCAAACTCCGTGTATTCCAGCCCGGAAAGGCCTGCTACACAAACCTGCAACAGCAGCCTTAGCTTGCAGAAGCCTCATGCATGTAGCAGGTCACTTGCATTTGGCATATTTTGGCATCCGAATCCGAATTTGCCATCTTTGGCCGCTCCACGCAGAAATCAAGCGCACAGCACGCAGACACCACCTGGCAACGGGCGGCTTAAGATCCACAGAATTTACACGACAAGTGCAGATTGTACAGGTTGACGAGAAACAACGACAAAAAGGGCCTGTGCTCTGGAATCAACCAACAAAGACAAGAAATTCTGTGACCTCGCCTTTCGTCTACAGTCTAGCCTATGTGGCGACAGCCATAAATCTTGCACAGGCTGGATCTTCAAAAGTGGGAGCCTGCAGCTTTGATCTTCTCCTCTGCCTCTTTGGTGAAGTAGCGTGCCTGGAGCTGATGGGCACCCGCACCTGGCCCTTTTGGTTAAACTGGTGACAGCCACATTCGCCTTCACGATTACCGGCTGCTCGGGAAGCTGGCCCTTTCCCAACACCTTCATGTAGCCAGCCTCTCAGCACACCATTACCGACCCGTCACTACAGAATGAATGTCTTCTCTTGGAAGGGATGATGCCTTCATGACGTCGATGACGGGAGCTTTGTCTGTCTTGTCCTACTGCTGCATTGCAGAGCACACTCCAGCGCTTCTCTCATTAGATGGCAGAAGCATGCAGAGGCACGCGACCTTGTAGAACAATCGTGTCTGCTCTGACACCAGTGACCAGAGGCGCTCTACGTTGATGGTGGGAATGACCTCGAGCGAAGCTGCAAGCTGCAAATTATTGGGGGGGGACCTTGCGAAGAAATGCTTTCGCTTGGCCTTGCCATGCTTGATGAGGTGGAAGTTGCGCATTCCGACCTGAGCAGCGGGTACGGCGGACATGCTGGATGTGCCCGGATTCTGCACCGTCGTGGTGCCTTTCCGAAATAGCCCGGGTGGTACTTGTCGAAGTTAATGCGATGGTGGTGCCTTGTGCAGCAAAGTTACTCTCCCGGCGGCCCCACAACAGGTAGAAATCAAATCATCGGAGCTGAGGATAATGCTGGCCACCCGAGTTTCCACAGCCACCCGGATGCTTGCGGTGTTTGCCAATCCGCCCATGCCCTGCAAGCAGCTGTCAACTTCAAGCTCACGGCGTCGCCAAAGCAGCAACACGATGCACACGCTTTGAGCCGGACCCCTCTTGCGGTGGGCATGCATCTTGCGGCTCTTCTTGAACCGGGTGGTCATGGTGCCTCGTGTGCACTGGGTGGCAAATACATGTGCGCTAGTGTGGCCGGTGCGACATAGCGCAAAAACCCTCGAAAGAACACACACACACACACACGTAAAAACATATATATATATATATACATATTACTTACATTGTGAGGTATTGAACACGGCTCCCCACTCGAGGGAGCTTTCGTCGCGTCACATCGCCATGCTCGGGCGTAGAATCTCCGCGCATCCCCGAAAACGACTGAACCAGGCAGCTGTTCCGTTGCCTTATTCATGCCGGTGGCAGGTGAACTTTTGCACGATTTGACTTCATGTTCGTCCACTCGCCCTTCCCCGTGGCTGCATGGCGTGGTGTGGTCGGGGCCCCGGACAGCCAAAGGTTTGTTGAACAAGGGCCGTGACATGAAAAGAGTGCAGACTTGCCGGCATAAGGTCGGCACGGAGATCGACTGGGGCTTCCACGATTCTTGGACGCCTTCCCTTGAGCCGACAAGCAACGGAGTAACATCTCCACCAGCCATGACTGCGATGAATGCCACAAGCAAAAGCAACTACGCTCCCGCCAAGGAGACTCGCCACCCATGCTCTTGTGCTCTTTTCCATCCCAGGCCGCTGTCCGTGCACGTGTCTATGAACTTGCTTGGAGAACACAGGAGAATCATTCAAAATTCTGTCTCGGCCTATGTACAACCCAGGCTGAATCAGGGCAGCAAGTCCCCAATCATCTTCCTCAAGTCTGCTGTAACCGCTGCGCAAGTTAACCAAGAAACCATGCAATACACTCCGTCTCCGGTCGCCTCGCCTGGTCTGGGCCGCCACCGCAGTGAGAGCTTCCACCTGCCGTGCGCCGAGGGCTGAGGACACCAGGACCTGCCTAGCCTTCGAAACCTTCGAACTCGACCTCCGACCTGGCCAGAAGCCTCGTGCCACGCGGTGAGTAAAGAACAATATGCCGCCTGCAGTCGTGGCGACGCTCTTGGACTCTCTCTACTTCGACACTGAGTATCTAAAGCAAGCCTTCAGATCGCGGCCGACATCATCCTGGTCGCATGCTTTCAGCCTTAACTGGTGGCAAAGGATGGATCTCTGCTGCATGGGAGCTGCCCGCTTGGAAGCATGCAAACGCAGCAGAACAGCGCTAAGCTCTTGCCTGCTGAAAGTCTGGGAAGGTGCAAAGCGACGGGATGACACAGACACTGCAATCGGATCCTTCCCCTCCCGCCTCACGTACATGAGGCAGGCTCCTGTTTGCGACTTGCAGGCAGAATGGGGCGGAAAAAGCAACGGGCTGTCCGGCCATCGATGCTAGCGTGATGGTGTGGCGGCAACAGTTTGCAAAGGTCGTGCATGTTTACGTAGCGACATGTCCGGCAACTCAAGATCCTCACCGAGGAGAGAACGAGGAGGCAGCGGGCTGTATGCCGTAAGCATGTAATGTACGCGGCACTTGAATGCACAGCAATGCGCAAAACACGCTCAACACCTGGCGAGGCTCGAGGCATAGTCGTCAGCTCGCAGTGTCGTGTGGTGCTTACCATCCTGTTTAGAGTCTAGAGCTTCTGCGGATGTCAACACGATGTGCGACTCGCGGACCGGAGTTGCCGGCCAGGGTTATGACTTTCGGTCGCACCGCTGGCTTTCGCAGGCCAGGACCATGGAAAGATGAACGATGAAGGATACTCAGCAACTTGTGGAGCGCTCGGAAAACGGTCCTTGGTCCTCGCCCGTAGACAGCAAGGCATTGCGCATTCGCTCTTCCTTGTCGGCTGCAACGTGCAAATGCAAATGCACGTTGAAATTCTAGAGGGCTCTGAGGATGCAGCTCGGCTGTGAGAACCTGCGAACCACAAAGCCATACCATCTGCTCTGGCTCTGCCAATCCCCCCTTGCCTTGGCTCGACTCGCTGACCTGAAGCATCTGAAGCCATAAAGCTCAACCGGGAAGGCGCCAACCCGATCCCTCCCGGTCTGCACCTGGAAAACGGCCTCGTCGCCGCCTGAGCTCTGAGAAGACGCACTCCGCAAACGCCGTTGAGATCTCGCACGCTTCTCGGTGCAGGGAATCCGCTTCGCAGGGGTCGCGGCCCGTCTTGGGCAGCTCCGGACCCGAGCTCAGCCTGGAAAAGCTCAGTTGGAGTTGGAGTCGGTTTTGTCCGCAGTTTCACATTGACTTGAGACTCTTTGAGACTGTTCCCGAGCTCGAAGGACGAGCTGGGACGAGCTGACATGCTGGAGAACTCGAGCTACAAGCTGAGTGCAACCCTGCCTTGAGATGGCGACTTCACAGAGAAGTGATGCAGCTTTGGCATCACCAGCCCAGGCTGGCCGACCTACTTTGTGGCGTGCGGCGTGCTCGCTGCCCAGAGGTCTCGGAAAGAAGAGGTGCCGCCTTTCTGTACAGTACGGCGAGCAGCCTTGGCCGCGAGACAAATCTTATCCAAGGCCAAGTACTTCGCTCTACGAAAAGGCTGCCTTTGCTTCCAGCAGCTTCGTCGCAACTCCAAGAGCCTGATTAGAGAGCGTGAGAGAGGAGAGACAACATGGAGAGCTGCACGCTGAACTTCCCTCATAAACCTGCTCGCTCTCAACTGCCTCTGCCCGGATCTGCATGCTTCTTTCTAGAGTGTAAGGTTTAGATTAAAGTTTTTGGCCAGCCAGAGTAGTATGCGTACATGCTTCGCCCGAACTCTGCCGGGTTGGCAAGTGCGGCTTGGTGACAGGCTCGAAGCATGCTAAAGAGACTCGTGAAGAATTGCCCCACAAAGAGAATGAATGGCAGTCATGTGCCAGCCTCGCTTCGCTCAGCTACAGGTGAAGCCGTCCACTGGTCCTTGGCAACCGGGCACTGACAGGTTCATTTCGAAACGTGGGGGGTCCGGGGTTTGAGGCTACAGACGTGAGGACCATGCCACAGACCACATTTGTCAAGCTTGCTCGCAGAAGTCTGGACTTTGCTGCGAAGCGGCAAGCGAATGCTGGCAATGAGTCACCGCCAGCTTCTGAAGCCGCGAGTCAGCACCGGCAGTGCAGAAATACACCTTTGAATCAGGGTGGGCTACACCACAATAAGCGTGCAAACATGCAAACTACTGTTGCTCTGCCCCATGCCTCTTCAACATCTGTGGCTGCAGGTTGCACGGAATTCGACCAGGTTGAGTTATGCTTCGATTTCGTCTTCCCATGACACCAGAAGACCACGGTGCAGCAACCGTCGGCTCAGGCTCAGGCAAAAGCAAGGCCTTGGCCACAGCAATCTTCGAATTGACTCCAAGTTAAAACTTCGACTCTGCACAACATATCACAAGTAGGTTCAGAGTTTGGAGCGTCTAGGCTACACATGCTGCGCAGGAGCACATTCTGCAACAGGCCTCTTTACATCTATGCCAAGTACAATTGATTTATCAGGCTGCCAGCGGCTTCCGATCCTGTTAATACTGCCTGGATGTGTTGTCGACATCCCAGACGGCTCCTCGGGACGAGTGCCGGTCCAGATTCAGAGCATGTGCAGATTAACACGACATTAGGAGAAAGCTCACATACAGTATGAGTGCCGATCTACGAAACAGGCTGCAGACTCGTGCATCG